CCCCAAACTTCCCCCACTTGCACTCTCTCAAAATAAAATAAAATAAAATAAAATAAAATAAAATAATTAAATTAAATTAAAATTAAATAAAAATCCAGACGTAAGAAACATACTGACCAACTGCAATGTATAAATGTTACCTGAGTCCTGATTCACGCAAAACCGAGACAATTGGGGAAATACAAAAACTCGCTGCGTATTTGTTAATATAAACGGTTATTTTTAACTTCCTATATGTAATAATGGTGCAGTGGTATTTTCTTTTAAATAATTTATATTTTTGAGAGACACAACCTGAAAAAAGATATCTGGGCTTTGTCATGGAAAAGGCAGTGAGAGAAGAGTGAGAGTACAGATAGAGAACTGGCCTTAAGTAATAAATCTTGCAGCTGAGAGGTAAATAAGGATTCACTATATTATTCTCTCTCTTTTTTCTTTAAATCTTTCCTTAACTAGATGTTTTTACATAATGAAATGAACACATCTTTAAATCTAAATATTTAATCTGCCATTTTTTAAAGAAGTATTTGACAACTGCAAGATTTATTTTAAAATCACGAAAGGTGGATTTCAATTGAATTAAATTTAATTGCAGAATGTACAACCCTTCTATAAAGTAGAAATACTGTTCTACTCATTCTCAGAATCACCTGGCTTAGCTCACAATCAGGACAAACGACTGTAAAGAATATTCCAAAATACTCCCTTCTTGTCCTCCATTGTTGATCTGTCTATGTTAGGTCCTGGATGTCACCCAGCTTCCTTGTTAGCACTGACTCAGGGAGTTTATCAAAACAGTGCAATTAAAGTTTGAAGACACCCGTGGGACTTATTCTTACCATTAGTTTTACTTTCAACCCAAGCATTAATAGTTTTCCTCGTTTCTTCTGGAGACCGTTCAAAATCAACAGTTTGTGGCGTGGTTTGATACAGTTTCTCAGAACAGTTTAGATATTGCTGTAAAAAGAAAGGACAATAGCACAACACAAAAACAGTAGAAGGGAAGCAAAAGCCTACAGCTCTATGTGTTCTAAAAATCACAACACAGAGGGGCACCTGGGTGGCTCAGTTGGTTAAGCATCCAACTCTTGATTTTGGCTCAGGTCATGATCTCATGGTTCATGAGTTTGACCCCCAAGTCTTGGGCTCTGAGCTGACAGCGTGGAGCCTGCTTAGGATTCTCTCTCTTGCTCTCTCTCTGTCCCTCCCCTGCTCGTGCACACTCTCTCTCAAAATAAAAAAAATGAAACTTAAAAAAAAAATAAGTAAAATAAAATCGCAACACAGAGACAAAAGCAGCTCGTGTTTTTATGCCTGAAAGGAAGCCGAATCCATGTATACTTATTCTTTAATTTTTTTTTTATGTTTATTCACTTCTGAAAGACAGAGAGAGACAGAGCACAAGCAGGGGTGGGGCAGAGAGAGAGAGGGACACAGAATCTGAAGCAGGCTCCGGGCTCTGAGCTGTCAGCACGAAGCCTGACACGGGGCTCGAACTCACGAGCCGTGAGATCATGACCTGAGCCGAAGTGGGACGCTCAACCGACTGAGCCACCCAGGCGCCCCCATGTATACTTATTCTTAATAAAGCAAATGGATTTAAACAAATCAAACAGCTTTCCAAAAGCAATGTTCAGAAGTGTTTGTCTCTTCTGTCCTATCATTGGCATTCTTTGTTCTAAAATGCTCAAAGCAAAATGGCAAGATACAATTTACTCTCACTGCTCTGTCCTCTCAAACAGACAAATGGGAGTCACTGCCCTACGTTCTAGATGGGAAAACTGAGGACTAGAGTAACGAAGTGATTCAGGACTGGGGTGATTACATTTTGCTTGTTGGAGGCCTAACAGAGGGCTTGGTCTCCTCATGGTATCCCTAAAAGCCACTATAATTAAAATGGTAATAATATTGTCTGGTGGACATAATTGACATTTTTTCAACTTTATGTAAAATGTGAACAAAAATAACTTAAGGAATTCACTATTTTACTCACCTATACTAGTAATCCAAGTAAAAATAGTGTGCAAAATCAGTATAAAGAACCTAGCCCTCTCTTTTAACCAAGTTCCCACGCTGGCCCCAATATGACATTCTGGACCCACCACTGATTACCACCCATGCATGGCCCTTGATTTCTAGAACTGGGAACTTTCCACTGCCTCACTGCCAAGGCACCAGTCAAATCTACATTGACTCAAATGAAATTGCCTGCTGTTCCATTCTTGAGACCTTGGGGACATACCTCTATGGTATGTTCATAGCAGGACCCAAGGCCCCACCATGAACTGAGCAGGATGATACAAGACTTAGAAATATGGCAGGTATGAAAGTGGCTGCCTGGGGTGTGGCTTGCCATTTGCTTAAGTAGGTTCTCTTGTGCCTAAATCCATTATAGAACAAAAGGAAAGCTTGCTAAGAGCAAACTCTGGGCCTCGGGATGACTCTTGTTCTGAGCTGGTCCAACTGTGGCTAGAACATGCTTAAGTGATTGTCCTTAATCCATGAGATGAAAGTTTTTCCAGACAGAATCCTGTGATAATAATATCTCATGCATGATACAGATCATGACAATCTGCACGACACTAATGAGGAGCTTCACATTTCAGGAACAGATGCATTCGTCATTATCCCAAATCAACATTTCTCTACTACCTACGTCCAGATCACTGTTTGTGGAAGACACGGGGCGGGAGAGAGAGTATTCCAACTTTAGGGACCATGACTGCTAATCCCCACCACATCAGCAGGCACTCCATAAAAGAGTCACCGTAAACTTTTAGGACAGTAGGAAACAGCACTTCTGAAACAGGTCCACACCCCAGGATGGACCACCCCAAGTTGCAAAAATTCTGACAATCAACTGTTAAGACACAGACTACATTACCAGACAAGAGGAGAACATTAGAAATTCAGGACTTCATTCTGCTTCCCCAGGCCAGCATTTAAATAAAACTGGTCAAATAAAAGCTATATCGCTGAGGCTAGCATTTCACCTTAATCACATCAGGATAACACAGCAATTAAAACAGGAAGATAGATTTGGATAGGAGTTGCACTCAGGCTTTGCCACTTAATTATCTCGGCTACCTTTGTCAACTTGACTTTTCAGAATCCGCCTCACAATTGTAGAATTAATGGCAATTTTGTACTTATATTAGGACTATGTAGCAGTTAATGTGATAAGACCTACAACGTATTAAGTCGAGTAAACGGCACATGGTAAACACTCAATAAAACTCCATATTACACTACTGTTGGGAAATGTTATAAATAGTGTTAGAATCTTGAAGCTAAAAGGGATTTAAGTCTAATTCTCTCATTTTAAAGATAAAGGTGACTTTCCCAAAGTCATGTGTCTCACAGGGAACAGAATTCACATCTCTTGGCTCCCAGTCTGGTATGCTTCCCATTGATTCTTAGTACTCTGCCATTAAAGACCTCTGAAGAAGGGGTGAGAAACGTATTTTGCTTTTTCATGATCCACAAGAGAATTCTTAACTACTTTGTTTTGTGCGTCATCCCTGACCTTGCTTCTTGGACAACTTTGGTGGTTTTTGCAAAAATAAAATTGTTATGTGATATTTCACAACTTTAAATGGGATTTTGATAAAACCATTTCACTGAAACTCTAAGTCAGCTCAAAATTTAATCTCTTACAGATGAATGCCATGTGGCTCTTCTCACTCTTCCCTTATTTTATGGTTTGAAACCTAGAGGATGCCAAGACAGCTGTGGGTTGCCATTCCAGACGGACTTACCTGATGGAACATCATCGCCTTTGTCCCGTAGAGTCTGTTGGCCATGCTGAGGGTATAGTTAGAGTCTGGCTGGTTAATTTGAGAGAATAAGACTCCAAACGCTGAATGAATCCTTCCAGCTTGGCTGCACTGAAGCACCAATAAACAAAGAATGGAGTATTAAGTTGCTTGATTTCTTGCCATTGGAGGGTTATAAATAATGTGGAAACAGTAAGTAGACAGCAAGGTGTTTGCCTCTGAATAAAAGGGTAGGGAATACTAACAAGCAAAGAGTTGGGGAGTTTAAAGCATGTTCCTTCTCTAGATTTCCTCCAGCACAACAATCTCAGCACTCGGTGACCTTAGTCACAAGTTGTGTGCAGAACTGTAAGCTATTGCAAAACACACAAGCACTTGTTGGGCCCTACAGTTAAATCCAAAAGCACAAGTTTTCATAAAGAGATCCTATTGGGGTCTTTAGGGTGACGATCCAAGTTTTGCTGCTGTCCCTGTACCTATAGAATCATCTCTGTCACGCTCCTTTCAACGTCTCCATTTTCTGTGTGACCATGGAACCAAACACTTTAGCCCTTTGCTGAACTGATCTCACTCACCCATCCAACCCATTCCCAGGAGCAATTCTGTTAGACCTACGGCTTTGAGGCATCTGCACTCAAGGACATTTTTGGGGTCTACCCACATTCCCTGAAGCAAAGTTTCCCAAACTACGGACGTGCTTTAATCTCCTCACAACAAGTTGGGTTCTGTGAAGCAAATATTTTTTGAACCTGTATGTATTTATGTGTTTTCTGAATCAATCACAATCAAACACATAACCATATCACGTGTGAGTTCTAATTCTGATGTCAACAGGAATTCTCCTACTAGAGAGAAGTGGGAATCACAGTCCCAGGCAGTGTGGGCTGGGCAACATCAGGCCCCGTTTTCCTGGGGTCTAACTATAAGGCAATGGGTCCTCTCTCAGTGACCCCACTGCAAAAATCTACTCCCTCACAGATGAGGCTGGCAGACTCAGTCCCATGTTGAGATTTACGGCACAGTCCATGAAAGAACAGAAAGCTTGAGCAAGAATAACAGTAAGACATATGATAAAAGCTGGGGGACTTTAATACTGTAATTCTTTTCATTATGTTAACTGTATAGGCTGTAGCAATTACCAGGAAGACTAAAGGACTTGACCAACGGAGACAATGCTGCTGGGTCCTTTAGGGGCCAAAGAGGGGCTCTGCCACTCAACCCCTGCACTATTAGTCCTCGGTGCTCTTATGTTGAAGAGCATTTGATAGCTCAGTAGTGATACTATCATACCTTAGCTGAGGCCTTGAACTCTGGTTTTAAGGATTCTGCAATACGATTAAAGTGAAGCACCTAGGAAGGAAAAAGAGGAGTCAACTGATATCAAAAGCAACATACAGTCTATAAACGTGAATATTTACAAGTTATCTGTTTTTCCATTTCAGAAAATGACCAACGATAACAGCTAACATTTAGTGATGTCATCTTCCGGGTACCGAACTAAGCTTTGGCATATCTTACTGAATCCTCGCAAGAGCTTCGTAAGTAGATGCTATTATCCCCATTCACGTAGGGAAACCGAGATCAAGAGAGAGGTTCCCTGACAACTGTCTGTCCATCTCCAGACAGTAATGAGGCTCCTCTGCCCCCTCCTACTGTTCTCAGGCCCTTCACTATGACAGTTGACCCTCTAGGGTCATGTAAAACATTACATGGTGTCCCTTTACAATATCTACTTTAAGCCAAGAAAATCATGAAAGTGCATCAAAATATGGAGGAAAGAAATAGAGGACAAAACAATAATATGATGTGTAAGTATCCAAAGAGTTAAGTGATATTCATCTAGACTTTCCATAGCGATCAAAAATACATATAATGGAAAAATCACTATGTATCAAGTTACCCCTTTTCTTTTAGTCTTTCTGTTTCCCCCGTGTAAAATAGGGATAATAATCCCTACCTACCACATAGGGCTGTTGTGAACGTCAAATGTACTAATGAATTATTTTTTTTACACTTGAGAGCTTTTAAAGTGTTATTAAGTTTTTCTATCGGTTGCAATCCTGGAGGGCAAGAATAGTATCACACATGTGTTCTCTGTCATATTTAAATCACTGAAAAAAAGTGAACTCCAAAAGTAAACTACAGAAGGGTATGCATGGGAACACCAATGGGAAGGAAGAGACTGTGTTGCATTTATTGTGTTATTTGCATTGTAAGTATTGCATCATTTAACCATTATTCCAAGAAATACGATTTTCCCAAATGTGTTTCTTCAGTCACAAGATGGCAGAAATTTCCTTGGTATCAAGATGCGTGTGTCTGGCTGACCCAGACGGGTGCACAGAACACGTGAAAGGCCTGTGGAAATCTCTGCTGTGTTCCATACCTTCTCCATCTGCCCTGCACTGTTTCCTCTGGCCCCAAGGAGAACCATACTTAGAGCATAAAGCAGACTCAGTGGTGAAAAGAAGATGTTTTCTCCTACGTTGTGCCTGTTCAGCTCTTTGAACACATCAAGGCAAAATTCAACGTTTGCTGTGCTGAGAGGATCCATTTTATGCCAAGCACTACCTGAGAACACATGGAGGGAAAAAAATCTCAGAATATTACTTGGAAGTACAGGTAATACATAGAGTTTGGTTATTAAATTTCACGAATTTATGAGTCTGAGCACACTGCTTTGTGAAAAATTACATACTCACTAATGAATAGAAGTCACTAATGAATAGAAATCACTAATGAATAGAACATTTAGTGTTCCTTTCAACCAGTGGTTCAAGGCTGTCTCACTCTCATTTGTGAACATTTAAAAGTAATTGTTCTGCGGCAGAAGAGCAGAAGGAATTAGGTCTTCATGCTCTTAATGTCCATGCTACAAGATCCTCCTCATCCTGGAATTTGTACAGAGAAATTCTCTAGCTACACAAGTTCAGCCAAACAAGTTGCTTTACCACTAGACTGCACACCTTCACAGCCTCACAGGAGAACACTTTTCTCTTTCCAGATACCTTCAAGTTCTCCCCAGATAGCACTGTAAAAACATTAATTACCTGCTGCTCATCCCTTCCTTTCCTTCCCCTTCTCTCCCCTCCCCTCCCCTCCCCTCCCCTTCCTCTGTGCTAAGAGGACACAGATTTCATGAATCCACTTTCATGTAACCATGCACTTCAGAGAAGGCTTCAGGATCTCCATACCCCAGGGGCCAGCCTTGACTGGCCTAACCAAGTGAGGTAATTGTCTCCTGCAACAGTGACTAACTGGGTACCAACTTTGAGTTATATTCTGAGGATCCAATGTACAGCATGGTGACTCTAGTTAATAATACAGTATCGTATAGTTAGTTGAAAGTTGCTGAGAGTAGATCTTAAGCATTCGTGCGCACACACAAAGTTAACTGTGTCAGGGGTTGGATGTGATCCTGGGAATCATTCCACAGTGTTTATGAATATGAAATCACCACATTGTACCTTTTAAATATATACTATTATATTTAGCAGTTATTGCTCAGTCAAGTTTGGGGGGAAACAAATAAAATTTTAACGATCAGAAGGTGCCGTGATTCTTGCCAATAAGGACAAAAAGTCATTGCTGGGCTTCTAGAAGAGGCTTCCCTCTGATAAAAAAAAAAAAGAGAGAGAGAGAGAGAGAGAGAGAGAGAGAGAGAGACTCACAAGAGGAAGACATCCCTCTTCTTCCTCTTATTTGTCTTCATGTGACTACTATCACAGCAGCGACTGTGTGACCGGGATGTAGCCAGCCCAAGAGGATAAGCCAGACGTCGGAGAGGAAAGGTGGACAGAACCTGAGTCCTTGTTGATGCACCATTAAGTGGATGGATTAATCCACCCTGGATCTGTCCTACCTTGGGATTTCTCATCATGTAGGATGATGTTTCCTTATATTTTAACTCATTTTGGTTGAGTCTTCTGTTACTTGCAACAAAAAGCACCCCAGCCTCCCCAGGGATTTCTTCCTACGCCCTTGACCGCTAGGACCCATTAGCCCACCTGCCTCACATTCACACATTTCTAGCACAGCTACATCTTTCTCCCTTATTTAGTTCCCCAGCGATCTACAACTACTTTGTTCTTCTTCCTCTCATCTTCTAGATTACAGCTTCGCACTCTTGTAGAATTCAAGTCTAGGCCTATATTCTGTAGGCTATTATGACAGGTGACCAGTCCACTGCCTCCGCCCGGGTGTGTTTATTTTAGTTACTAACCTGCCTTGTTTTCAGTACATATCTGAGTTGAGCTCACTGGAAGTGTGTTCTCTGGGGCATGACTCTGTTGGCTACTGATGTAGGCATTCGTGTCATACCTCTCACTAAAACATAGTTCTCTGTGCCTTTAGAGCCAAAGGAAGCTAAGCTGAAGGTGAATGCCTCAGAACTGGGGCTGGGAGGAGGGTGCACAGCTCAGCGCTTCTCGGGCAGAGACAGCTGAAAGGAAACGTGTCGCTTGTAGATTTCAAAATAATGACCCACCAAATTTATACGGCAAAAATGGTGATGACACATCCCTGTAATTAAAACTGGTTGTCCTAAAATAATCATTAGGGACTAAGTGCTATGTATTCGAATCATCAGACCACCCAAGATAGTATAATAGAGCCTAGCAGTTATATTATAACAAGCCTGGACTGTATTTTTCTTTGCTTTGGACAATTTGTTTTAAAGGTATAGCACAAAGGTTTTGCTAATCTTATTTAATGAAAATACTAGCACGTGCCTTTAACAGGATACTGTTCTTCAAGTTAGTTTTAATACAGCTCTCTGTAGCTGGTCTAATAATAACAATATTATTGTTGTTATTCCAGAGCGACATGGATAGAGCTTGAAAGCTCTTTATTTCACTACCTTAATAATGAAGCCAGTTTCGGTCCAATAATGAGGCATGTCCGAGGCAGATGCTCTTTACACTGCCTTCTGCGTTTCGGTAAATGGGGTTAGCTAATGGAATCAGGTTCTAGAATGAAATTTCAGATTTAAGATTTATAAGTGAATGTAAATTTATTCTTCTTACATCTACATCATCATATTGTCATTATTAAAAACCTGCCTACATATTAGAGTGAACAGTAGCCCTACAGTTATGGGGGCGCCTAGCAAAAGAGTCTGGAATATACTGATAGACCACCTGTATGAACCACCTACTTTTATATTACTTATCTGTTGGTTTCTTTCTCTTTTTTTCAACCACAAGCACAGAAAGCAGAAGTAATCACACCCCTCAGTTCTTGGCACAGCCATCATTGGGCCATAATTCTCTTCTTTGCTAACTGACTTCAACCCAATTCATTTTCTTTCTCTTCCATGCCTGCAGACAACACTTATCGTTCGTTTAAAGCATATTCTTTTTTTTTTTTCAACGTTTATTTATTTTTGGGACAGAGAGAGACAGAGCATGAACGGGGGAGGGGCAGAGAGAGAGGGAGACACAGAATCGGAAACAGGCTCCAGGCTCTGAGCCATCAGCCCAGAGCCCGACGCGGGGCTCGAACTCACGGACCGCGAGATCGTGACCTGGCTTAACCGACTGCGCCACCCAGGCGCCCCAGCATATTCTTATACCTACATATGTCCTTAAAAAATATTTGTTTCTTTATGTAGCTTTTCATTTTCATAAATGAGCTTATATCAAGTAATTTCTTTTTCATTGAGTACTTTTTTAAGACTCATCCATGTCACTCTGGAAACATCGTCTGTTAACTTGCAAGTACTGTGCTTTTGTGCCTTTGCATTTTGCCAATCCATTCCCCAGTGACAGATGCCCAGACGGCCTCCTCCTCACATCATCACCAGCACTGCTGTGATGGGCATCCTCACACAGACCCCCTGATGCTCCCGTGTGAGATCTCTTCACAAAGGAAAGGACTGCATCACAGGCTCCATGTACATGCCAAGCACTGCATACGTTATTCAGAGTTTAAGTCGTACAGGATGGGTCAGGTTACCCCAGTTTTGCAGACAAGGCGGTGAGGGGTTGAGAAATTCACATGGCATACGTGGGGTGGCCATGACATGAACGCAAGTCCATGTCTTCCGAAACCTCTGCTCATTCCACTTGCCACTGGACACATTCAGATAAGCTTTTATTTGAGGTAACATGATTTTACTTTTGTGGCACTGTGCCTATTATCCCTAATTGATCAGGACAGCATCTTACCAGAAAAGTTAAGACATTTTGTCCAAGATATAAGGCATTAATAGGCTTAATCTGTTCACGAATGGTTACTAAATATAGCATTATTTGCCTCACTTCACAGTGAGATCTTCCAGCTCTCCAAGCATTTGGTTCACAATACCAAGAAGAGAAACATTAGGCTTAGGTTTTTCAACAATTACTGGGAATACATAATTCTAATTAATTCATGAACTTTGGCATTTGGCATGTCTATTTGCAAGACAGAGTTTTCACTATCGTTAAGCTAGCTCTTAAGATCTCTATTTTCATCATTCACTTTCCAAGGCCCCACTCTTCTTAGTACAACAGAGTGTCCATACTAATCTTAAATTCAACAGATTTTATGCAGTAACCTTGACTGACAATTTCCCCTACATCTGAGTAATTGTCTTTGGAAAACACTGAGACACAAATATGTGGATGAATTCGCTGATTCTTGTTAACTGAGTAACTTCCTCACTAGATTTAGCGTTCTTTGAGGGCAGGGAAAATCTGCCGGTGAAATTATCGGTGTCTTGCACAACCACCCAATCACCAACACATATTAGAGAAGTCAACATTATAAACAGTTTACAGTTTCTGGTCTAATTAATATTATGCAGTCAGTTGCCGAAAAGAGGATGCCATGAGGGACAGAAGTCCCAAGGCACATAGAATCCTACCAAAGATGCATAGACCCCAGAGAAGGTTCCACCCAGGAGATGAGGGAGAGCTGGCATGCCCCTAGAAGTAGAAGGACTGTGAATTGAGCTCCCAAAGAAGGAAGGAATTGCAGAAAATTCCTTGTAGTGTTATCGTCCTGCCTGCTTTTAGACTGAAAAAACCCCTCCCAAGCAAAAGGAATAGGTCACCTGGAGGCTGCCGTGGGAGAAAACCAAGAAAAAGATGCCCGAAACTGCAGCCCTTCTAGGTTAGGAAGGGGGATGTTTAGGAAAAAAATAAAAAACTATTCAGGAAACGCAAAGAGAGGACATGTCTTAGAGGGGGATGTTGGCGATAAAGTCCTGAAAGAGGACACAGCACTGGAAGGCATTCTTCCCAGGACATCAAGTTATTGATAATGCCAGTCCAGCACAGTTGAGATCTTCTAAAGAACCAAGAAGAGTTTTGCTACACAGAGGCCACGGCCATGTGTAACCAGCTCCGTTCCGGATAAGGGTTATTGGTAAGTAGAAAGTATCAACAGAGTTCTATTTTGCTAAACAAATCAGAGGTTGGAAATTAAGTCAGCCTGCCTCCAGGATTTTAAAAATGCACACCATCCACGTTAATGTATTAACAAGCATGATAATGTACTCATCAAGGGATCAGCAAAAGGCACGCTCAAAGAATAATCTTCGCCCTCGTGTGGCTCATTACACACCTGTCC